AAAGGAACAAATAACAAAAAGAATTTATCTGGGCAGAAAGTGTATTCGTGCACACATTTGAGGGAAGGTGGGGCTGCGGGGGGTGTGGGGGTGGGGTGGGAAGAGGCGTCCCGTGCTGAGAACAGCACATCTGTGCAGAAGAGACCAAGAGCGGGGTCTGGTGGTAGAAACCCGAATGTCCAGCCGTGAAATCCAGACAGTCGTCTGGCATGTGGGACCTTTGAGAAGCACCAGTTCCAGCCGAGCATCTGAGGGTCCAGTGGTGTCCTTTAATGCCGCTCTGAAGGGGACACGCTGAGCAGTCCTCAAGAGCCTCCTGTTCTGCCGAAGGAACAGTGTGAACTCGAGCTCCGTCTCCAAGGGGGTGCTTGGCAGTTAGGCATGACGACTCTGAGTCACACAGCCGTTTAAGACTTGCTGCTTGTTTCCGGCCGTATACACTCTCCCCCAGCAGGACGTGCCCAGCCGACGCGGGATCCCTGGGTCTGCTGTGCAGGCGCTGGAGCGTGTATGCTGTGCGCTTAAACTTGGCAGAAGTGAAGCCAAGGAGCTGGCGTTTAGTGAGGGCCCTGGTCACTCTCGGCATCGCAGGAGCGCCCTTCAGCATGCTGTCATTCTGACTCACGCAGCCCTAACCCAAATGCGGCAGGCGTTCGGAAGCAGGATGGCAGGGGGAAATCCAGGCCGTACAGCTCCTGACTGATCGGCCAGGGGAGATCCAGACGCGGGTCTGTGTGTCTGCACATTTGATGCTCAGTCAGCTTCGTCCTCTGGGGCTCTCAAAGTTCTGTGGCAAAGGGTCGCCTGACTGCTGGGTACAGAGCATGAGGCCGTCAGGAATGGAGGGTGCCGTGGGCGGAGGCCAGGAGTATCTGCTCGCATGCAGAAATAACAGAAAGTGGGCCAAGAGGGTTCCTCACAGCCAGGCAGAAATGTCCACTAGAATCTGGGGGAGTGGATCACAGCACCCTAGAAGTCGAGGCCTCAGGGAGGAGGAGCAGCAGTGATGTTATCAGAAGTGAGTCATCTGACAGCTTGGATCAGAGTCACCCTTAGAGGACTGAGGCCCTGCGTCTGTTCCAGAGAGACTGAGTCCGGGTGAGTGAAACACACCTGAGGATTTGGACTTGGACTTTAAATGACCTGAGGAGAGGTGGTATCCGTGCGGTGTCTAACAGTCTGCTCGTCACTGCGGAGCTGCAGTCCAGATTTCTGCCGGTCACTAGTAGGGAGGGAGGAAATCGGAACTCTGCCCCGGGAATCCGGAAGTCTAGGAGCTTGTTCATTATGTATCTGCCGCTGTCTGCAGCAGTTGTCCGGTAGGTGGAGCTCGGTTTAGTTTGAGCTGCCTTGCCGGCTGCTGTCTGCTGGCTTTGAGTGACACAGGGGTCACCAACATTCCTGTTCACTTCCCATGTCTCCACACTTTTCTCATTCCTTCTGTCCTCCTAGGTGTGGATGGATTTCATTTCCCAAACTACTGATTGTCCGTCCATCCGTCCGCCTGTCTGTCTTTCTCGTGATTGGCATTTTCAGGGCGTGGTCTCGTGTGTCCCAGCAATTTTATTTTGATTTGATTTCCTTCCTTTCTTATTGGGAATGGGGTCATTAAATGCATTTGTCTTAAGGACTTTACTCAAGACACAATAACTTTATGACATTACAAATAGCAGGCAGAGCCTGTATTGTTTCTTGCCGACTTTTTGTGGAACTGGGGGTTCTTTGTGATTATAGCGGGGATAAGTTGTTATTTCTGTCTCTTGGAAGGAAGGAACCCAGCTCCAGGCAGTATATACGAAATAACCAACTTAGATGTGAGTCCGTCTTACAGCTAGCTGTCCTATGTGTTGTATTTCCGGCCACTTTCACTTGGTTGATTTCCAGGTTTTGTTAGCCTTGAGGAGAGACCAGGGTTCCTGGGCATTTTAATGGCAGCAGCAATCTCCTCTGTGAAGCGTTTTTATGCCAAATCTTCTGTGAAAAAGATCTGTTGCTGATGTGCTGATATTAAAAGCTTGGTTTGTGTTAAGCCATATAGAAATCCCTTGTCCGCAATCATTTGTGTTCCATTTGGTTTCTCCTTCTGAAACCTGCTGTTGACCTTTAACTGGTCTAATCTTGCTGGAGCCTATGTTTTCCCACTATCCCTCTGCAAAACCTGGCTTTTGAATGACATCTACTGTAAAAAATAGTTTTTTTTAACACGTCTTGGGGATTTTGAAATCTTTTTTGTTGTTGTTTTGAGCAGGGTCCCATGTAGTTAGTCCAGGCTGTCCTTGAACCCCTGATCCTCCTGCCTCTAGTTCTCAAGCTTCTGGAATTGTAAGTGTGTACCGTCATACCCTCTTCCTCGTCCTCCTCTCTCTCACTTTGGATACAGGGTCTCACTATATAGCCCTGGGTGGTCCCAAACTCACATTCTCAGTAATCTCCCTGCCTCTGCGGCCCGTGTGCTGGGTTTAAAGGCGTGGGATTTTTTTTCCTTATCTAGCATGTCCGTCTGTTGTCATGACAGTTCTGTGAGGGCACTTGGGATTGCAGGAAGAAAGAGACTGGTTGTGAGTTGTAGCTTGTGGCCAACTGGAACCCGAGTAGCTGTCTAGTCGACTGAACTTGTGCATTCCAGGAGCATTTTCTCCAAGTAGGAAAACTTACGTGTATTGCTGAGTTACCTATAAGGAAGAGAACCCTGTGTTATTTAAGATTATTTGTGTGTCTGTTTGCCTATTTGTTTTGAGATAGGTTTTCTATGTGTAGCTCTGGTTGTCCTGGAACTGGCTCTGTAGACCAGGCTGGCCTCGAACTCAGAGATCCACCTGCCTCTGCCTCCTGGGTCTGGGATTAAAGGTGTGTGCCACCACCACCAGGCTATAAATCTCAAATTTAAGGAAGAAACAGTGGGTTTTTAAATTTCCAAACAGGCACGATCGCCTTAGATGTGCTGAGAACACAGTAGATTGACTTGGACAAGATAACAAGTTGACTTCATTTTCTGCTTACTTATGGAGATGTCTAGAAGAGCCCCACGTTTCGGCTTTGAGTCAGAGCAGTGTCATAGCTGAGTGGTGGAGAGCTGCTGGGCGTCCCTGCAGCTCTCAGGACGGCAGCGCTGAGGTCCTTTAAAAAAACCTGAAAAACCATAGAGATGGCGCATTGCCTTGAAGTGAAGCCATGAAATGGCAGACGTTTATGCCTTTTGCTGGGTTTTAAGGAACTCAATTAGGAGTTCTGTTTGGCAGCCAGAGAGCATGGCTAGTTAAATGTCTGTGAAAGTAGCCGTTTGCTTGTGGACAGGGAGCCCTTTTGGTAGACATAGTGAAATGAATGTACAGAAGGCTCTCCAAGGCTTTGGAGGTTCTTATGCTGTGGTGCAGTGGCCCCGAAAGCCCACCAGGTGGCACCAAGAATCTGCTTACCCACGGGTCCCCAGCCACTGTGAAGCATTTGAAGCTCATTTCAACTTCTATCCCCTTGTGAATCTGGCTCCATAGTCGCTGTGTCCTTAATTCTGGTCCCCGGATCCCTCATCATACTTATTCATCATCTTTTAGCATCTGGCCACATTCTGCTTACGGGGTAAGCATGGCATTGGCACCCCCTTAGATAGCACACTGCTGCTGCCTGTCCCTTTCCCTTTTAAAATGAGACACACAGCCCAGGCTGGCCTTGCGCTCCCTGAGTGTGCACCAAGGATGACCTTGAGTTTCTGATCCTCTTGCCTTCACCCGAATGCTAGCTAGGACTATAGGCTGCTCCACCACACCCAGTTTATCCTGTGCTGGAGGTCAGTGCCAGGTTCCGGATCCATGCGCATGATTTGTTAGTATCTCGGGATCCATGAACCAGGTGTGGATGCAGTAGTTTTCCTTCTCATCCCTTTTGCTTGGACGAGCTCTCTTGGCCTCGTTGCACAAGCCACTCTTGGGAATAAGAACTTTGAACCTGTGGACAGTTGTGGTTTTATAAACTTCACTCTGTACTAAGCCCAGCCAACCGCTTTCAGTATGTTCAAAGATGGTTGTGGCCGAGTCTTCCCTGAAGTCCTGTCATTGCTTGTGACAACGTGTGACAGACGGAAGATGGCCATGGAGTTCTGGGCTGTGTGCAGTGTGGATTGGATTTGTATGAATCAGGAAAGAGTTTTGGCTCTGATCTTGCTGCCTTCTTTGGGTTTCCGACAGGACACCTGCAGGCAGAACTGTCTGGTGGGGAGGCCCCCGACCGAAGGCACACTGCGGGCATGCTCGGTCGGCTTGTGTCGTCTTATCGGGGACCATTAAGAAAATGGACATTCAGCTTTCATTCTTTTTTTAGGCGGCAGATGAGGCTTTTAAGCGTATTGGAAGGACATTTGAAGAGGCTCCATAATGCTATCTCATTAGTGCGGTCATCCGACACAGCCAGCTTGTTTTTCTGCCTCTGCCTGCCTTCCTCGTTGTGTGGCTGCCTCTCCAAAGTGTCTGACTTGACGAGGCAATCTGGAAGCCCGATGCTTCGTAGTCCAGGAGCAAGCGAAGCTAAGCAAACGCTGGTGCGTGCGCGTAATGCAAAGAAGTGAGCTGCTATTAAAGTGATCTAGAAAGTTCTGTTGATGTGGTAGCTGGCTGCTTCTTCAAAGGCTGCCTGTCGTTTCTTGGTGAGGTTGCTGACCAGGGCCGTTTGTGGCATGAGAGCTGGGGACACCGAGGCCAGCGGTTTTGACTTGCTGCGTGGATCATCCAAAGCCCTGGCCGTGAGACAAGAGTAGACGGCAGTCAGTGCTTGTTTCCAGCACCCTTCCTCCTCCGTCCTCCTCTGTGGGGTAGCATTGTTCTCAAGACTGGCTAGAACCAGCCTGCTCCACACTCGGCCCTGTTGACTCTCTGCTTTCCTTAGCAGTTGGACCATGACGCACTGGGGTTTGCTGAGGCTGCTTGCAGGGGCTTCTCCAGGAGTGCATCTGAGACCCTGGAGACTGTTGGCACAGATCAGTGCCACTAACCGGGCTGCTTTGTTTTTAGGTGATCGGTGAGGACAATGTGGCGGTCCCCTCACATCTTTACAAGGTGATTCTGGCCCGCAGGAGCCCGGAATCTACTGAACCGCTGGCACTGGGGGCCTTTGTGGTGCCAAACACAGCCATTGGGTTCCAGTCCCAGTTAACTGAGTTCCAGGTGAGCCTCCAGGACCTAGAGAAGATGTCAGGTCTGGTGTTTTTTCCCCATTTGGACAGAGCCAGCAACATCCGGAATATTTGCTCTGTGGACACCTGTAAGCTCCTGGGTTTCGAGGAGTTCACTCTGTACCTGAGCACGAGGAAGATTGACGGAGCCCGGTCCGTGGCCAGACTGGAGAAGGTCCTGGAAACACTGAAGAGCTCAGGGGTGGAGCCTGACGATTACTTCCTGTCTCGCTATGGGAAGAAGCTGGAGGAACTGAAAGCCAAGGAGCAGGCAGACGCCCAGCGGGAAAAGCTGTCCTAGTGTGGGTGTGTGCTGCGCACCCGCGATGAGCAGGCGCGCCCTCTCCTGACGGCTGCGTTTTAGTGGATTTCTTTTCAAGAAACGATGGGATCCTGACTAAAAATCTCTCCAGAGACTTGCTAACTCAAAACCCAGTATTGTTTTCTTTCGCTAGGATCCGGTGATGGAGACGGCTTTTAGAATTCCTCTCTTATCCTGCCCTGGGTGACGTACTTCTTGCTTCTCCTCTCATGACCCTGACGTCCTCCCATCTGTCTGTGCTGAAGCTTTTCCTCATGTGCTCTGTGCGCAGTGCTTGGCTGTAGCGTCAGACAGTGAGCCTCTGTGCAAAGTCCCAGGGTTCCCATCTTACACGTGGGGACGCTGAGGTGTAGAGCACTGTGTGTGTTCCCCGTTGGTGCTCTGCAGAGCTAAGACAAGGTTGGGTGGGGTTTGACTCCAGTATATTTCTATGTCCGTGTGTATTTGTGGCCCTGCGCTCCGCTTGCTGGGAAGGCTCTGTCTCTTTGCTGTGTCCTTGGGCAGAGACACTTTGATACCTGAGTCGGGAAGACTAGAGCAAGGATGGCGGTACTTCTGGGTCTAACCAGAGCCTGCGATTCCCTCCAGGGACCACATGGGGTCAGATAAGTGTTTCTTCCTTCCCTTGGGGCGTGCTAAAGGAGCCCAAGAAAGGTGTGTGCCGAGCCACCAGGTACCTGAGCTTCTGTCGTCTGCCAGGCCGTACACCACAGGTGGGTAGAGCCTGGGCCGCTCCTGTGGGCAAGAGCAGCTGTCTCCTGTCTTCCTGTGCTGACATCGCAGAGGCTCACAGAGGCTTGAGCTATCCTTAGTGTACACGGTGTGGTGGCTTCCAGGCAGGACTTGTCTGAATCTGTCACTCCACTGCTGTCTTCCAAGCAGCGGAGTGAGGGCGGTCTTTGAGGGGTTGTGTGTGCCTCTGATAGCAACGAGATGGCTTTTACAATAAACGTGAGGCGGTGTTTGGCCCTGTTCTGCTCCTTCATTTGAGTAAAGACAAAAAGTCGGGTTAGGGCATGGTAGCTGATTAATGCCACTCTGTTTCATCTCTCTGATCCCCGTTGGCTTGTGCCAACCCTTCTCAGGGTAGAAAGCCAAAATGTCCCTGCGACCAAAAAAGTCTGTTACTTTCTCTCCTCAGAAGAGAGGTGATGTGTGGGACCTGGGTGTTTCTCCAGGAGCCCCAGGAGGCTTGCGGGCACCCTTGATGGTCGGTGACTTAGGTCCCTGCAGGTATTCAGAATGTCTCCGTTCTGTTACGCTGGCCTGACTTGCTGGTGGCCTTGAGGTTGCTGTCTTCACTCCTGTCTCTCCTAGATGTTGAGGGATCTTGAGTATCTCAATAAGTTAATATATCTTGGGATTTTTATTTCCTATGAAATGTTTCCTGGTCATCATGAAAAACAGAGATAAGAACATAACACAGTGTGCCAGACCTCATTTATTCTCCTTTTGAATCTTCATCTGAGTGTTTTGCCTGTATGCATCCATCTGTGTCCACAGCATGAGTGCCTGTTGCCCACAGTGCTTAGCAGAGGTCATTGGATCCCCTGGGAATGGAGCTACAGATGGTTCTGAGCCACCATGTCAATGCTGGGAATTGAATCGGGGTCCTCTGCAAGAGCAGCCAGGACTCTCAAGCACTGACCTCATCCTTTATGTGTAGAACTTGCATCGGTGTACAGCTGTGGCTGTTGAGCTGCTGTGTGAACATTGTCATTAAGAGTGCCCCAAAGAAAGGGTTAGAATTTCCCTCTGGGTCAGGTCACTGTGGCCCCTCAGTGTAGCTGTCAATTGTCCTGGATTCCATGCAGTAGGTTCCTGGGCCTCACTTGACTCAGAGACATAACGTTGTCACCGGCTAAACCTGACTGGGCCACTGTCCATTTGCTACCTTAGTGGGTTCCCTCGGGTTCTCAGACCAAGCCCGGACCACCACCCTTTGTGCCATTCACCCATCCCGATCCTGGTCTGAAGGAATGACCAGGCTGGGAGACTCTGCTGTGGGAAGTCCCTTTCGGTGGGTAGGGGATTTAATCCTTAATCTTTCCCAATTTCCAGTGACAGCTTCAAACTCTGGTCTCCGGATTGAGGCTGTTTGGCCAAAGTTGAACACAGCAAAGGCCTTACTAAGTCACAGAGGTTAGGGAAGGCTATGCCAGCCCTGAGCTACACGCTGTGCTGGCGCTCCCTTTTTGCACCTGCACCTTCATCAGTGGAAACCTCTGTCCTCCTCCTAGGCCTTTGATCAGAGCCCGGCAGGCAGGAGAGGCAGCCCGGGGCCGAGGGAGTGGCTTCCTGCAGAGCTGTGCTGGAATGATCCTCTGTGTTGCCATGTCACCTGTGTCCCCTGCCTGGTCTCTGAGGGTGTCATTGAGCTCACTGGGCTTGTGGCAGACGTCTGTTAACAGCCTCTTGTGGCGTGGTGGGGATCCAGCATGTGTCCCATCAACACATCCCAGCCTGTGCAGCAGATCTGAAGGCTGTGGAGCCCTGAGGGGGTGAGGAGTAGGTCAGCAGAGGCAGGCTTTGAAGGTTCTAGCCCGCAGTGGTCGAGCTCGAAGAAACCCGTCCTGAAGTGACTTCTGTCAGGGGTTTGTCACGGTGACAAGGAATACATGGCCCACCCTAACCCTGGACCCTGCTGACTGCTCAGGCGGCCCTCAGCACTTGGCCTTGTTTCTTCCTGTGAGCTCTTCCAACACACCTCTGTCTAATGACGTAAAAGCCCCTAGGGCTTCGCTCTAGTTTTCCCTGGTGGAGCTGATGGGGCTGGCATCACACATGAGGACTGTGTTGAAGGGTTTTACAGCATTAGGAAGGTTGAGAACCACTGATCTAGAGCAATTATCTGTTTGACTTAAAAATATGTATGGATTTCTCAACTGCTCCCTTCAGATTGTGACTCGGGGTCTGTTACGAGGCTGGGATTTGCATTTTAAGAAATTATTTTATGTGTATGGATGTTTTGCTTGCATGTGTGCCTGTGTCATGTGCATCCCTCGTGCCCAAGGAGGCCACAATAGTGCAGGTCTCACAGCTCTCCCGGGACGGGAGCTGCAGATGGTTGGGAGCTGCCGTGTGGGTGCTGGGAATCGCCCCCCCCCTTCCCTTAGGAGTGCTGTGATTACAGACTTGTGCTGCCATCTCTGCCCCTGCCTGTGTTAGGGAATTGGCACGTGGGGCTTCACACTTGGGGCACTGATGGCTTACCCAGCGAACCATCTCCCCAGCCCAGGAATATGTAATTTAAAACGGAGATTGGTTCGTGAAAACATCTTCCAAAAGTGAAGATAACTTTCTCTGTTGAAGAGAACTTGGTCCTTTTTCCTCTTAGGTTATCGCAGACTTGGGGGCGGGGAGGGGACATTGTGTGTGCCGTATGTCCCAGGTTTCCTTTTGATAGTTCTCTCTGTGTCAAAGAAACTGTGAAGCTTAATGAAATTGGATCGTTTGTCGTTCGTTTAGAGAAGACTGGCGACTGATGATCAGCCAGGACTGACTCCAGGCTGTCCCCTCTATGCCCTCACCTTCCTGCTGGTACTGGGTTTTGCCTGAGGCCCTTTCAAGATAGGCAATTCATGAGGACACTGGCGCAGCCCACTGACACGATCTAGTCCAGGGCGTGCTGACCCCGTGCCTGCTCCAGCTTTCTCTCGTACGTTGGTTCATGTGGATCCCTTCCTTCAGTCTCTCAACCGGCCTGCTATCAGCTCCGAGTGCTGGCATTAAAGGCGTGTGCCGCCACCGCCCGCTACAAAGGGGAATCTCACATATGCCAGCTGTTAAGATTTCCTTGTTACAGCTTCTTCCCATTTCGAACACATTAACTGATGTGTTAGTTCATATTTGTTTCTTTTAAAAAGGACAATGGCTGGGCCTGGTGTAATCCCAGCTCATAGGTGGATCTATATTGAATTCAGTGCCAGCCTGGTTTACATAGTGAGTTCCGGGCCAGCCAGTACAGGCTGCGTAGTGAGACCCTGTCTCAGAACACCACCACCACCAATAATTAATTGATGCACAATACAGAAATGAGACTCCATGGCGGTTTGCCTGTGATTTACTCGAGGGCATTGAGGGGGCCTGCCACATCTGTAGGTCCACAGGGTGTGGCTGAACCAAGGCTTTGGAGATGGGGTAATGTGGGGTAATGCTTGAGATGGATACCCATTCCATCTTCCTGCGCTTCAGCTGACTTCCTGCTTAATGAGGCGCCCCACATGGATACAGGATTGGTATGCAGGTTGATAAATTCTTAAGTGGTAGCCAGTTACTTGATTATCAGCTTACAGGTGACTGGTGAAGGTCAACGGGAAGTTGTGGGCAGCTTGTGATGTAATGTGATGTTAAGCTGCAGGCCCCTCAGAAGCAGCTCTGTCTTGTAAGCCCTGGAGCTAGGACTCGCTGCCACATATCTTATCAGGGCCCCGTGGGAGGTGCTGTGAGGAAGCGCATATCTAGGAACTTGACTTTTCCAGCCTGTGGTCTAATGCCCACCCTGTGTCTCTCGAGGTTGCTGAGTAATTTTCACTCGGTTTCAGTTCAGTCATTCGTGCATCTACTCAACCCTGCTAATGTGCTCGAGGCAGATACATACTGGACGTTATCCTTTCTGGGTTCCCCACTGGGCTCTGCAAGTAACAGCTGGTTAAATGCTTTGGGGTTACCCAGCAAGTCAGGAAAACTGAGTGAATCTTGTTGAGTACTGGTGTTCCTGTTCTCCAGTGTGTGTGTGTGTGTGTGTGTGTGTGTGTGTGTGTGCGCGCGTGTGTATGTGTGGGGACCCAGGGAGACAGTCTGGGGACGGTGGAGTAATGGGCTATGAGACAAGCGGTGAGCATTGCTGACCCTGTGGCTTGGTCCCTCAGTCCGTACGCTTTAGGCTCCGCTGAGTCCCATCTCTGGCCTGAAGCGATCCCTCGTGGTGGGAAGACGGGAGTGAGGGGGGGGGAGTGTGCTGAGCAGGGCCTTCTGGGTAACCTCTGCAGGAAGCAGGGCTACAGTTAGATCTTCCAGCTGTGTGTGTAGTGGAGCCCTGCCCTCTCTTCGAGCCTGGATCTCAGGGTGTGTCTGTTCTGATCCCCCCCCCCGGCTCCTTTCACACAAGAAGAAATGTCCTGCTTCAGCCGCTGTCTGATCCGCTCTATCCAAATGTCCCCTAGGACTGTAGGGTCGGGGCAGTGGCGGGCAGTGGCCTGAATTCCAGACTCAGCATCAGGCAGGACAATGCTCTAGTTCCCTCCCACTGCCCATAAAAGATCCCTGCCCCCCACCACCCTTCCAGCGTAGGGCCTGGGTCGCCCTGCCCCACCCTGTCCACCGCCTGGCCATCTGACGCAGGTGGAGGAGTCGTGCTCTAGTCTGTGAGCGGGTGGAGCGCTGGCCATCTTGTCCTGGGCGAGTGGAGCCAGGACCGCACGATGTCATTGTGCCCTCTTTCCCTGTGTGAGTCTAAAACTCAGACTGACACAGTGACTGTGCCCCTCACTCCCCATTCACTAACCCTTTCTTTGGTCTGTGGGCTGTGGCCGGGACCCTTGCATGTCTGGTCTGGCGTCAGAGCCTGGCTTCTGACTGGCTTTCAGGCGTGTTTGTGATGTGTTTTCAGGTTAGCAGCACCTTATTCCTCAGTTAGGTAAGGAGATGGGCTGGACAGTCTCAGCCCCCCCCCCACCTTGCAGTCCTTTGGCCGTGCAGGGCAGAGCCTGCCCTGGGAAAGGCCACCTTGCAGGGGTGGTTTGCAGGTGGAGGCTGCTGGGGCAGAGTGGCTGAGGGCCTCTGAGGAGGCGTGAATGAGGGAGGCAGGGGAGAGCTGGTGTGGACAGCCCTGTCCCTGCCTTATCTCCTGTCCAAGACACCCTCTCCACACCCCAGCCCTGATAAGCAGGTGTGAGCCATGGCCGCCTTGTGACAGGCCCTTCGGCAGGGAGGGTGGTGGCGGGCGGGGGTCCACTCCACTGGGA